TTTTTTTTTTTTTTTTTTTTTTTTTGCCCATAATTGTTTTTTACATTGTACACATTACAGGGATTTTCCCCCCTGTGGGAGAAACCCACAAAAGTTATTTTCTTTTAGAGGTAATTTGTCTTTCTCCAAGCTAGGCTATCTGAAGATCTGTGAACACTGCCGGCAGTTGGTGCCGTGGGGCTGCCTGGATACCCACCCAGAGCAAACTTCTGGTCATACAGAGGTGGAGATGCCTACTTTGACAGTCCTGCTCCCTACAGCAGTGGTCCACTGTGTGGGCTAAGGCGGCCTCAATCCCAATGCTTTAGAATGGTACTTAGTTTTCAATGAGCACAGACACCAAGAAACTAGGTTTTCAGAGCCATGAGCACCCAGATCTAGAATGTTCTCTGCCATGGGTCTGACCACCAGCTTATAGATCTGCTTGTCAACAGCAATAGTACTGTCCCCTCTGGGATCAAACTCTCCCACCCATCCCCATGAAGTGTGGACACCACATCTGGAGGCCAAGGGAGTATTCTGGTGACTCTGTCTTGGCTGAACCCAGCATCCCACCCGTCCAGCTGTTGCATTCCTGGGGTCCATGCATTGTCTCTGCGCTTTGGGGTGGAGGGCATGCTCAGTTTCACCAACTAAACTAATCTTCCTGCCCTTGGCATGGTGAGGAAGAGAGAATCAGAGAAGAATAGCAAGGAACTCAAGAGCAAGCTCCCCCTACAGCCTCAGCAATGGACACATACAGCCCTGCAGGTATGCACCAGCCCAACCCATCCATCAGCTCAGGGTCACAAAGTAATTAACCAAAAATCAAAACCAGGCTCAAGTCAGCTCCAACAGCAGGAATCTGGCTCCTTCTATATTGGAGCTATTACTCTGACCTTCCCATAGGGTAAATTTCAGCTTGCAGCTCTCAGGGACTCTTCCTTGGGCTGTGCTCCCTTCAGGGATGGGATAGGGACATTTTAGACGTGCTGTAAACTCTGGTTTTGAATGACTGGCAAAACTAGTTTGTACCTCCTGCTCAGTTCAGGGCTTGGTCCTTGCAGTTGTCCTCATTTCAAGAGCTGGGCCCGTCCTTAATGATCCCATGAAAGCTTATATATGTTTGTATTTGACAGACACGTGTAACCCCTGCCATAGCCCACGGCAAATCCTAGGCACATGTTTGCCTGCCCCGGCCATGACACACACATATTAGCTAATAGTGTTGTCCCTGCCTCCCAAGTTATGAGTCAACCCAACCTGACAGTGTGGGAGAACCTGCCCAGGACCGCAGCTTACACACCTCCAAAGTCTGATTTCCAGTTCCTGTTGAGATCTACACCAGTGCAGAGGACTCCCGGTCTGCTGGACTTGTTCTTCCGCCACAAGCGGTCTGAGAAAGCCCAGGTCAGGTGGCTTTACTCACTGGGCCCACTCTCCCAGGCATGGGAATGCTGCCACCCTGACTGACGAAGAGGGGTCTGGCGGGGCAAGGAGGAGCAGAGGGAAGAACTCCCAGGACAGGATGGAGCTGAGCCATAGCTGCAGGTCAGATATACACTATGGCTAAAGTCAAAGTTTAGGGAGAGGCCAGAGCACAGGCTCCTAGTGCTGTCCTTTGCTGGGCAGAGGGCAGGGGTAGGAGGGCAAGAGGCCATGGTTGCAGTACTGAGCAGTCCTCCTAGCCCTGGTGAGGCTTTCTGCAGGAGCCCCTGAAAAGGCCAGCTCCAGAGGTCATGGAGACCTTGCCCACCCCAGAACTGACTCCTGATCCAAGTTCCCACATGTCCTCACCGTGCTGTGGGTCAATGCGAACCCATCAGGGTTGGTGACAAGCTCTATGAAGATGTCCATGACTTTCAGTATGTCAGTCAGGATGTGGTCTTTGCCATACTCGCTGACAATCTGCAAGAAAGCTTGAGAATGCGAGGCCCTGCTAGGATCTCCTTGGAGGTAGAGCAGAACATTTGCACAGCCAGTGGCTGCAGGAAGAGGTGGCATGGGGACATCCAAAATCAAAGGCTTGAATTTTAAGCAACTGGAAGTCACAGGATTGACATGGGCTCTGTGCTGCAAAAAGGCCAGAGTACCTGGTTCCAAAGGGCAGGAGGAGATAGAACACCCTGAATTTGAGGGAATGAAGTTTAATTTTTCTACAGGAGGTGACCTTAAATATTCAAGCAGCACCCCCCTCCAGCAATTCCAGCCCCATCATGGGTGCCCCTCAGCTGCAGGTCACTGCTGACCTTTTTGGCAGTCCAGATTCCAGTGGCGTGAGTGATCCACTCCCGAGAGTGAATCCCAGTGTCGATCCAGATAGCCGGGTGCCGAGAGCCTCCAGTGCTAAACTAGGAAAAGGAAGCTCTTGCTGGGCTTCTTGGAAGGAGGCCCCAGAGGCATCGACACTGCCTCGGATGGCTCCCTGTGCCAGATGTGCTTGGCCCAAGGGGAGGGGTGCACACCCAGCACGTGCTTATGTTGGGGCCTTTCGCCCCATGTGCTACTCTCCGAGGGCAAAGTGAGATCCAGCAGGAAACACAGAGTTGCCCAGGCCTGAGCACATCTTACGACTAGTGCTTCTTGAACTTCAATAGGCTGTGAATCTCCAGGGAGTCTTACTAAAAATGCAGATTTCGATCAGCAGGGCTGCCTAGGGGTCTGAGGGTTGGCGTCTAACTTGCACCCTCCCAAGGGATGGGGACGCTTCTGTGCAAGGACCGTGCTTTGAGTAGCAAGGCCTCTGACAACACTACAGTGAGACTGACAGTGCCTGGTGGGGGTGGAAGTAGAACAGGAAAGGCCAAGGGCTGTACAGGAGCATCCGCCAGGCATGGTTGAGGGACTCAGGGCGTATCTTTCCTCACATCTGGCATCAAGTGTCCTGCGGGGCCCAAAGATGCCTTTTAAGGCCCCTTCTAAGAACTGCTTTCTGGTGTCCTCAGCCATCCTGCCTCCTTCTTGCCAAGGGCACTGCCGTTGCCAAGTTTGCTCATACTCTGTGTCAGGGGCTCCTGCCAAGGGCCAAGAGGTTTCTCCAGAGACTCAGGCCTATCTGTGGGGCTCCCTGAGCCAGATGACCTCAGTCACCATCAAATGACCCTCTAGGTACCCAACTTTACCCATTTAGGGGATGAGGCAACCAAGGCAACAGGAAGAATACTGACTCACTGATGCCCACACCCCCAGTGCAGGGGGACAACTGCCACTCTGTACCTACAAATCCTCAGCAACCCTCCCACTTCTTCCTGCCTGGTCACCACACTGTCACCCGTCCATACTACAAGGGTGGATCCCCACTGTCACATCTCACCTCAGTGTCACCTGAGGACAGATACATACATGCCTTCCTTCTCCTCAACACTTCCACCCACCACTGCTTCTGTGAGCTCAATCTTAGGCCACAGGCTGTCCCTGTAGTCTCCTGGCTGTTACCTTCAGGACAAGAATGGACCGGTTTTCAAAGCTGTTGCCAATATGAATTTTGGAGACAACATCTGAATGCTCAGTTACAAAATTGTCAATTCAGCCGTAGATCTGAAAGAAATGAAGTCTTCCAGACTGGTAGGAAAGCAGGGAGACAGGTGAACCCCAAGATGCCTCTAAATATTCTCCTCCCCTACCCCCACCCACCCTCTTCATTGCTTTCCCACTCCCTTGAGAATCTAAAAGAATCAGATCAAGAACTGCAAAACTTGAAGATGCCCTCGGAGCTCAGGGCAGTGAGTATGATCGGCTGAATGGCCAGTTCCTTGCACCAGCACAGAACCACACACCTTTGCCTGGGAAATTAGCGTGAGCTGAGTCTGCTCTAATCCCTGGGCAGAGCCTACATGGCTCTCTGTGGTTAGAACTTCTTCCTCACCTTCATTCTTTGGCCTTTTCAGTGCTTTTGACAGGTTTCACACACACCTTCCAGTACTGTTTTCTGTATCTTTTTTTAAAATCCCTTTTAGACTATAAGCCACTTGAAGGCAGAGTTCATGTTTTATTGATCTCTGACATCAATAATTAGACAGCTATTTCAATTCATTCTCTTGTCCTTGCAATACACATAGTTATGAAATATAAGAGAGAAAATGGATCCCCTAGTACAGGCCTTGTAAATTGGGAAGAGTGGTAATAATGACAGAGTGGACAATACCGACAATGTTATGTCCTTAACATAAAATTGAGACCTCTGCCTTGCGTTTCCTGTGGGAATGGTTATCTCTGCACCCTTCTTTTTATCCTTTATAAGCAAGTCACCATCAAGCATATCTGCCCTAGCCATCTGTCACTGTAATCATGAATTTTCCCCAAGTGAAGGCAACTCTGGTTTTCTAATGTGCCTGACTTTCTACCCCTAATATCATCAACCAACTACAGGTGGGGCCGACAAACACCAAGACTGGTCATGGAGAAGTTAATGGATGCCTCACCAGAGGATGTGATATCAAGGCAGTTTCTGCTGGCCCTGTTCTGACCCATAATGGATCCCTGCCCAGTAGTTAGTGTTTTGCCCAGTAGACTCTTTACTCTGCTCCATACCACCTAGGGCTGCACTGTGGAACTGAAGTCCCCTCCACCCGTGTGCTGGATTCTGGTTCCCTTTAAGCTGAATGCCTAGCAAACTATCTAATGCCTTCCCAAGTTCACAGCCTCCCACAGCCCTCCACTGGTCTTTGCCAGAGTCTGGAATGTAAGGGGCCCAGAGGCATGAGGGAGCTTGGAGCTTGACCCAGACATGCCTACCTCCTCCAGGGTGTGGTAAGAAGAGTAGCTGAAGCTACTGGTGCTGCGCTCCAGCTGGTGAGCCTTGGCCATGGCTTCTCTCTCCTGATCCAGCAGCTCCTAGGAGGGGCAACATGTATCAGAAGGGCATGCCAGGGCTGGGTTGGCAGTGCCACTTTGGACACCAGCCTTGGTTGGCTTGCATAAAAATGGCATTGACGTGGGGGACCAAGACACTGTGAGAATGTGCCACACAATGGAAGACCAGTGCTGGGGGATTCTTCTGCGGGCTGACTGGCATTCATACCGACATTTTTCAAATAAGCACAAGAAAAGGAGTCTGGACAGCCAGGTTCTAGGTCTGCTCCTGCTACCAAGTCACTGTAGAACTGGCTGTGAGCTTAGTTTCCCTAGGTTGAAATTTGGGGCAGCAATACCTGTCCTCTTACCTCATAGGGTAGAATGTAATAATGGGTATGACGACATTTTGGAAAGGTTGTCTTGGTGTACTGCCAACATTCATTAACATTCTGTTGAATCAGGGACCCAGGCTGAACCATGGGTACTGACCCCCTGGGGAGAGCAGAGGTTTCCTCTGCCTCCCAAAATAAACTCTACCATATCTTAAAAAGTAGCCTAGATAACTGGTATCCAAGCCATTTGGAAAGATAGGTATGGACAAACCCAGTCTCAATCGTGATCAATGTGCCAATGATCTTTCACGTACCATATCAGCTGCCTTCTAAACACAAACATGGGGGAGCCAAATGCAGTGTCCTGTGTGCCAATTTGGCGTTGGCAGTCAGCTCTCACATGCACTTCCTGCTGACTATAGGAACTGCCCACATCCTGGATACTTTTCCAGCTTGGGTCATGGTGAACTGGGCAGGTGTCCTTCACACAAGCTTATAAACTTACCCTGACACCAAGGGGCCAAGTTGCCCCAGGATTCAGCACTGACTGTCCAGTGTGGGACGTATCACACAGGATGCTGATCAGCACCCTTGTCAACCCCAAAGCATCTCTTGTTTAGAGCTCCAGGTCACAAATGAGTCTGTATGATGCTTTCTTTCGGGCCAGAGCCTTTTTGTTTATGGAGTATCTGTATGCTCATGATTTCATTTGATATGATCATGTGACCAGATTCCAGGTGTTACAGTTTATATCTAGATGTCCCCTCAAAGCCTCATGCAGTCATAGGTGGGGCTTTTTCAGAGGTGACTGAATCTAGAGTGTATGACTGATTCATGGCGCAATGCTAGGATTTAGGGTGCTAGTATTAAGGGTAGGTGATTACTAAACCAGTCCACTGATTGGTTTGGCACCACCCTGATCCCAGGATACAATATAAGGATCGAAAAGAAGCTTGTCTTGTCCCTTGCTTGCTTTGCTACCTTCTGCGCACCATGAACTATTTCTCTGTGATGCTTGTTTGCCATGCCACCTTGCCTTGGAGTCAGTTGGTTATGCACTAAAACCTCACAAACTGTGGGCTAAATAAACCTTTCCCCTTTTAACTTTGGGTGTCAGATATTTTGTCTCAGCAACAAGAAGAGTAACTAAGGCACCAGTGCAGAGATTAATTCTTGTTTTAGAGATAAAGAGGAGACTGGAGAGATGACATTACTTAACAGCAAAGCTAACAGGTGACAAGTGACAGAGGTGAGATAAGAACCTTATATTCTAGTTCCTAACCTTGAATTCCTTGAGGTTAGCTATCAAAACTAAAGGCCAACAATGATAATATACACACATAGATATACCTCTCTATATACAGACAGACAGACAGATAGATATTTTTTAGAAACAGAGGACGCATATCTGCAAAATGTTAACAACAGCTGAAAAACACCATTATAGTATGCTTTCAATTCAAAAGTTTTTTAAAATAATGAAAACCAAGTACCTGAGTATAATAAAATAAGACACTAAAATGCCTAAAATATATACACCAAAACACTAATAATACCTACTAAGAACATTATGACTTCGAGCAATTTTTTTCTGTTTTTTCATTTTGACAATGTGCTTCTACTACTTCAACGAGTAAGGACTCACAAGTGAATAAATAATGCCAAACCCCAAAACCCTAATGGCTAATGTGAAGCAGCAGCAGTGGGCTTCAATCCTGGGACCGAGAGAGTGGGTCCCCCTACCTCCTGCTACCGATGAGGGTCCATGACTGACACATCCCAGACCCAGCCCAGTTGCTCATGACTCTCAAGTTCATAGATTTCAAAATGGAATTGGAAATCAAATGTCTGGGGCTCATTTTATTTTATGTTTGAGCACCAATTACATGCTAGGCAATTATAACTGCAATGTATTCCAGCTGACTGATTCTGCTGGAGCATTCCCACTTGGGAAAAGCTGGGATTACTGGTTAAGTTAGACATGGCTAGGGAAGCCCTGATCCTTGCTGGTCACCCCTGACAAGTGCCACGCTGGGAAGCTCTACCAGAGGAATGTGCCTTCTTCCCAGGAAATCCACTCAAATCTCAGTACCCCACCGTGACCAATGTGTGCCCGCCACTGTGGGCTGATGACCAGCTGTGGTGAACAGCTGCAAAGATAGCAGGCCTGGTCCCTGCTCATCCTCATCAGAATGAAGTTGTGGTTCCAGAGGTCTAACCTGCTAGGTTCTGGTGGGGATCTGAGGCAGGGTGGAAGGGGGAGAGAAGAAACTAGGAAGACGGGACCAGAGGACTCAGTTCTTCCCACACAGCCAGGGAAGCTCCAGGAAGAGTTCCCTGGAGGCCACCCTTTGTTCCACAACAGCTTGGAGGCAAGTGGGAGGTCTGGCACTGTGCTGTAAATGACTCCCAACACCCTCCCAAACCTGTGAATGGATGTGAGTTGGGAATGCTTGGCCTCTCAGCTGGGCCTCAATTCTAGGAACACTAATCCACCCTGGTTAGAACACTGCAAAGATGTTTGCTCCCTTCCCAGAGTCAAGGGAAGAGGATGGAAGAGATAAAAATGCTGCCTTGTATGGGCTCCGGATGCCTAATTACAGCCCTGTCAGCTTCTCAGGAAAAAGCAAAAAAGACCAAGTAACTCAGAAGTTAAACATTTGCCTCCCTGGAAGCCATACTCTAACAGACAGTAATACTTTAGTGCCAATTAATTTATGACAAGGGTAAGGAAGGAGGGGGTACTAAGTAAAAAATAGTACCCCTGGGAAGAAGAGAGCAGGAGGCTGAAGGCCTGAAAGTGGAGCCCAGGACTGGAGTGAGCTGGACCTCTCAGTGCCGAGCTCCCCAGGAACGCCATGGGGAGCGCTGTGGTGCCAGTGTCCTGGCGCATCTCTGGCTTTCCCTTCTTCACCTCACATGTGCTCTGTGGGCAGTGACGATGACAGTGCACAGGCAGGCACACTCAGGGAGAGGGGCTGCAGATCTTTAGTTGTTGGAACGGAGCCCCTCAGAGGTCAAGGCTGAAAACCGATGCTTCACTACCGAAGGGCAAAGTTAAAACAGCACACAAGTGACGAGGAAGGAAGCAGCTGGCACAAGAGCAGAGAGTGTGGCTCAGCCAGACTGTCTCGTTAGGACACTGTCACCGACTTGGACAAATTACTAACGTCCTCGGCTTCCCCTCATAAAATGACGGTCATGTCATCACATACTTTAGCATGCACTTTAAAGTGTTCTCGTGTGGACTAGGCATGTTGCCTGGCATGTACTAAGTCCTAGCAAATCTTAGCAATGATGCTGATGCCAGTGATGGCCACAGGGACAACTAACTGTTGGGGTGACGCCAGGCTGCTGTGACGGAGCCTTACAAGGCACAACGAGGAGATCTGGACCCCTCCAGAGGGAATACGCATCTGTTGGGCTTGGGTGACAAATGACACCGAACGTGAGCCCTTAGTCGGCACCTGTACCTCATGTGGCCCAACCTAGGAACATGGGCCTACTTCAATCCCTGGCTTCTTGAAGCAGCCAGACTCTGCCTCTCCCTTAAGCTCTCGCCCACAGTTGCTCCCTTGTCACCTGCCTTCTCCTGCAATCTTCCCTGCTTCTTCTCCTCTTTAGGGCCAATACCCACCCACACCAGCCCGCAGCATTTCTGCTTTAAAACCCTTCCACCGGCTAACAAGTATTTCTCGAGCACATACTTCAGGCAGTAGGGCATGCAGAAAACAAAGAAAACTGCTTGTGGGGCTCCCAGCCTAAAGGGAAAGGCAGGAAATCAACAAGGGAAAGAAGTGAATTGTATCGGGCATGAGAATGTGGAAAATACAAGGAGCATGAAGCAGGGGGAGGAGACAGAAAGCTAGGGAAGTAGTGGGGGAAAAGGAGGTGACACATGAACGAGGTTTTAAAGGTAGTAATGAAATAAGCCATGCAGATATCTGCAGAGAGGACACTCCCAAGGATGGAGGGTCGGTAAGTGCAAAGGCCCTGAGGCCGGAATGGGTCGGGCAAATTCGAGGAACATCAGACGTCCATGGATGTGCAGCAGAATAATCAAGGGGCAGAAAAGTCCCCATCATTGGGCAGGGAATTGATCATGTGGAGCCTTGTGATCACTTTAAGGACTTTGGCTTTTACTCTGAGTTGAAGAGAAGACACTGAAGGGTTTCAGGCAGAGGAGGGACAGAACTGGACTTACAGATTTGCAGAGGATCCCTGCTGCTAGTCCAACCGAGGGAGAATAACTTGCAGACTCAGGCTTGGTGCGCTGAGGTATATTTTGAGGGGAGAACCCAAGAGATCTGCTGGAGGATTGCACGTGGGTGTGAGAAAAGAGTCTCAAGAATGACTCCAAGTTCCTTGCCTGGATGACTTGGGGGGGATGTCACTGCCATTTCCTAAGCTGAGAAAAGCTGTGGAGGAAGAGAAAGGAACTGGGGTGACCCACAAGACCCGGGTGGAAATGGTGAGGAGGGGCCAGATACAGGAATCTAGAGTTCACGGAGAGGCGCTGGCTGGAGCGGGCATAATAAGTGAGTCATGAGGACGTAAGAGGTTCGTGCCACACCCCAGGTGAGGGAGCAGGAGAACTTCGGGCAAAGGGGAGGCAGGGAGTAGGACAGCCCAGGATAGCGCAGGGTCTTAGGAGAGCAGAGCGGGATTCGGGGGAACAGGACAGCGTGACTACGAAAAGTGAACATGGGGAGTTGACAGGAGTCGGACCTAGCATTTCGTTGCCACTGTCCAGTCAAGGGCAGCTTTGAGAAGCAAGGGGCAGGCGTCTTTCCAAGGTGGGCACTGCCAGGGTAGAAAGGTCGGTATTTCCGGAAGTTTTGCTTTATAAGAAGCAGAGAAACGGGGTGATGGCTGGAGGGGGCATACAGATGGGGATCAAGAGAGGATTTTTTTAAAGATGAGATAAGTAGCTATTTGTGTGCAGGTGAGAACGATCCAATAGAGAAGAGGGAGTCGGTGAAGCAATATTTCTACCAAATTGTATTCCGCTCTAGATGGTCAGAGCGTGGGTGATTTTTGTTTTCTTCTTGTGATTTTCCCCTATTTTCCAAATTATCTAACATGAATATTTATTAATTTTGTAATCAGGAAAAAAGCCATTAAAATCCACAGTGCTGATTGCTCAAGTGAAGCTTTTCCATGGTGACTCATCCTGGGGGGAAAGAAAGCACCAAAGGGCTGAAAAGAACGAGGAGGTGAAGAAAAATTAAATGCAAATAGAGCTCACTCAGAATCAGATAATTTCTTGCCTGGCCCACTGTAATTTCCTCACCATCCTCCTGCCTGTCTCTCCCGGGCCTGTCCCCAACTCAACACTGTCACCATCTCAAGGTTTTTTCTGAAATGCAAATCTGATCCAAGCCCCTTAAAGTCTTCCCCACGGTTTTGGGGGATAAAATCGTGACCTCTTCACAGGGCAGCAGGTGCCCTTGGTGGTGCAGCCCAGCCTGGTCACCACTTGGGGCGGGGGCTCCCTTCCCCTCCCCAGCCCCTCCCCACTCTGCAGCTGCCACACACCGTAATTACCACCTTTTCAGCACTGAGACGTGCAGTGCCTCTTGTATTCTGCTCCCATAGCAACCTGCTCCCTCTCCATCAATGCGCTCATCCACTCCATTGTAATCACCGATTGACTCCCTCCCTCCCCATCCCCCACACTCTCCAACTCCCCCCTACAGCCCTGGATTTTGTTTGATCTTTGTGTTCCCAGCGCCTTGCCCCATCTCAGCACACAGTAGGCATCTCTGTGTCTGTGAGTGGACAGACCCACCACGTCTTAAGCACCTGCTGGTCACAGAGCTAGGGGAACAAGCACTTCCTTTCCTAAAAAATCTTCCAAGCCTCTGGCCAAAATGAAAGAAAAAAAGCAAGGTTTTTCACACTCTCTCTCAGCCTGGCCCCAGCGCCAAGCACACGCTCTTTTCTTCCCTTTCCTCATCACACCCCTTAATTCGGCTAATACGCACCAGCTAAGCTGCAGAGGTGTTAAGATGGATAAGGCTGATGCAACCGGACCTTGAGGGGTAGAGGGAAGAGGCCGGGGAGAAAAGACCAACACATCAGTAAGGACATGCCTGTCCCAAAACAATAGGGTATTTCACTCTGGGGATAAGTATTAAGGGCTCACCATACAGGGGATACTCTGCCAAGTGCGGGGGCTGGGATGATCCACAGGACAGAGAAATAATCAAGCCTGTGCATCAATACCCGAATAAGCCCAGTTGCCAACAACCTCTGTCGTGTAAAGCCCTTCCCATCTCCCAGCTGGTGCACCATGAAGTCTTCTCCTGGCCCCTCCCCCGCCATCACCACAAACCCCTGGGAACAATGGCCACCCCTCCACCCCCACCCCCACTTCCTGCACCGTGGAAGCCACAGCTTGGTCTCCAGGAAGCAGTCTGTGCCTGATGCTCTGCAGATCATGACTTATTTGGGAAAGTCCTGCCTGTCAGAGTTAGGGCATTTATTTTCCTGGGAGGGATTGCAAATCCCGGGGAGATGGGAGGGAAATCAAGAGAGGACTGCGCCAGTGGAGCCAGTGGGAGAGGCTTGGAGGTGACTCTGGGACTGTCCCTGATGTGCAGAATTCAACAGAAAGTTTTTTAAGACTGCTACGTATCTGTCTGCCAAATGCTACAGGATTGCCAGAGTGCAGAAGAAGCAAGGAAATACAAACTTCAAAATAGGGGCATGAACTAAAAATGAGAATTGAATTCTATTTCTTTTGATGTGGCAGCCTCTTTTGTCTGTGGGAGTTTCTCCGTTTTTGTTTGTGGGGGATTTAATTAGAGAAACATCCCACCCCCACATGTTGAGCAGGGAAACAGATGTGCCTGATGAGGGATAAAGGACTTTGAATGGACCGAGTGCCCCAGCCCTGTGCTCACATGGGAAAGGAATGCTGTCTAATGCGTTGATCCTTTGGCATGTGATGTTAAGTGTGTGCGCTCTGGAAGGCTCTGTGTTCCCACACTCGGAGCCCTTAGAAGAGATTAGTGCTGAACATCATGGCTGGGAATGAATCTGTGTGGATTCCACAGGTCCATGGCCAGCAACGGCATCGGAGAGAGGATGCAGTAGAAGACTGAACGGCCAAGTGCGACTCAGAGGAATCATTTCCAAAGGAGGCTGTGCCGCCGGGACCGTTCAGAGGGTCTCTGAATATCAGTAAAGATAAGACAGCTGAAACAGAGTATCATGGTGCTCAGAGAAGCTGCTGGACTGTGCAGCATCAGGTGGGGTGGGGGCAGGGCGGTTAGGGTGCTGAGATGGAAGGCTGGCTCTGCAGCCTTGCCCCAGCGCTGTACCTCTCGGACGGTCCTGCCTGCTGGAGGAGCCCAGCACAGACAGCCCTGCAGCAGAAGGAGGAAAGTGTGGCAAGGGTCACAAGGCTTCTTTTACCACCTCTAGCTTCTCTAGAGAAAATGAATCCGACCACCACCACACCAGGCATTGCGTGGCTGACCCAGAAGGGGGACAGGAGGGAGCAGTCAAAAGCAGGGTCATCAGAAGTGCCTGGGAAAGACCTGCGTGATTTTGTCTTGTCTGCATCCTTCCTATCTTCTGCTTTGCTGTTAGCTCCAAATCCCACCCTGAGAGGATTCGCCACAGCACCCTACCACTGCCAAGTTATGAGTACCCCCACCCCCATGAGCTCTGTGCTTAGGTTTAAATGTTCTCTGAGAAATGTGGGATCTAGTTCCTTCCGTGGTGTGTTCATAAACGCACAGATGGAGATCCAGAAGCGGAATGTGCACTTTCAGCCTCGGTGTTTTTCCTCCCTGATGGGTCCCAATGGGAAAGGAATGTGGAAGGCGAGACCCCTGCCTGTGGGCCAGGGTGACACCTCACCTGGACATTCTTAATCATAACGCTGTAAACAAGGCCGTGAGACTCCAGGTCAGCTTTGATGTCATCCAGTTCCGAAAAAGGAACTCTCATGTCCACGGGAAGGCTGGGTCTGGCTGGGCCCCACCAGAAGTCCACCTTGTTCACAGAGGAGAGAAAAATGGATGCATTCATTGCCTGTCCTTTGGCACTCCTGGAGGCTCCCTGTTATACTTAAAAGGGCTCCGGTTCCATAATGAAAACACTAAGGTGAACAGAGAGGCCAGGGTAAATAAACAACAACCCCAAGTCACCAAGTTCTCCCCACCCTGGCTTTGTCACCCTCCCAGCCTCATTTCCACTTTGCTAGTTAGCCTGGATCCAAAGACCCTTAAAGAAGTCGTAAAGGCGAGAACGTTCATCATCTGGGACAAGAAACCAGGTCAGAAGAAGGAGGCGTCATTGCTCCCACTCGCTGGAGAAGCAGGAAAGGCCTAATCTCAAGCCCGTGTCCTATATGTTTCTTAATGTGTAAAATGCAGAAACCTAAGAAGTGTGATGAGTCTTCATTGATAGGGGTACTCGGGAGCAAGGGCCTGGGACCATCTGCAGACATATCTCATTGCTTTAACAGCCTTCAAACAAAACCTTCTATTACAGCTGTCAAAGAAAATGTTTTCCTTTGGAAAAACTTATAGAGGACAAATGTTCCCAGAAACAAATGCTTGGTCTGGCAGGGATGAAACCAAGTAAAACACAGGTTTGCCAAGCTGAGCCATCTCCACGGGAAGCAGATGTGTCCATTCTTGGTGCTATGTGGATCTCACCAGGGATATTTGTGCCTCCTATTTGACTTTAGAACCTTTAAGCCATTTTCAGGGTCCAGCAGCCCTACTTTCCATCCAGGGCTGAGGGGAAAGCTGGAGAAGCTACAACCTAAAAAGGCCTCCCAAGCTTGTGGGTAAGTAAGCCCAGGCTCTCCTGAAAGGGAGCCACGTTTGACTTTTCTACAGTTTTGTGACGGTTGGCAGAGACCTCAGGAGGGCAGGTTTGGTGGGGAATAAGACAGGGAACCGAGGTGCGGGACACTGGGGGAGGAGGTGTCCTCAAGCCCTGAGCAGTCCTCACCTTCTGGGTCTTCAGGTTCTCCAGATCCCTGAGAAGTGACAGTTGCTCCTCATCTTTGGCCAGGACTCGAAGAACCTGGTGTCTGAAAAAACAGTGAAGGCAGATAATGATGTGGAGATGGCTTTCTGTGGCCTGTGTCACTCAAAAGTGTCATAGCGGACAAGAGGCCAGCTAAGGGCTTGGAAGGAAGGCCTTGGAGCTCTAGGAGTCATGCAGCTCTTCAGTCTAAAGCCAGGCCAGACCACCCAGGGACTAACTAAAGCCTGTTGGTGCTACTGATGAACCTAAAGCTGAGACGGGGAAGGGTAGGAAAGGACTATGAGGACCGGCATGTTTGTGTGTGCACATCCACACACACACAGAGAACAAAAGGAATAGACAGGAGCTGGAGGGACCAATGGCAGCCCTGAGTGCTCTTCATATCGGGCCGTGGTCTACCCAAACCCCATGGAAGAGGAGATCAGACACCCCCACCCCATTTTAGTGGGGGAAACTGAACTCCTTCCCTTCAGCTGGGTGCACAGGAGACCAAAATCCAGCCACCTGCAGTGTGCCCACCAGTGCCTGATGCCTGGGATGCTGTTAGCTCCCTCCTCGACTTTCTGAGACCCTGGGTAACAAACTTCCTCTCTGAGCTGTGTCTCCTCTTCTCGACTATGGAGAATCTGTGGGATCTTTGGGAGGCTCACAAGTCATATCCTCAGGAGGCCAAGGGTATGTACATACTAGAACTCTCTGTCGCTCAGTGGAGGACAGTACACACCATTTTTGGTAGGAGTACATAGTCTTGTGGGAGTTTACTAACTTCCTTAAGAATCTGAGGGAAAATATGAACTTTTCATCTGCCAGAGAAATACATATACTATCACATGTGATTTCAGGAGATCCTTGGAACCCTGAAAATTACCCCTGGATCCAAGATTTGGGAAGAGATAGTAACACCACCAAAGGGTATGGAGCAAAAGAGTGAGGCACTAGGAAACCAGAAGTGGGTTCTAGATGGGGATAGATGTTGTAACTCCTCTGCTTTGATCCAGTCCCAGCAAGACAGCAACAAACATATAGCTGTTGGGACATGCAGGTCCCCTTGCTGTGAGCCAGTCCTCCCTCTTGCTGAGGAGTAGTCACTTACCCTGCGCAATTCATTTGGCCCCAAGCTGCTTCTAGGATAAAGCTGCACAGCAGAAGGGTCCATCTATCCACAGTGGGCGGTGCAAGGCCTGGGCCTTGTCTTCGATTGTTCTGCATGCTTCTTCCTCCAGGTGAGCTCCCAGAGCTTTCCAAATGCCCAGGCATGGCCCAGGCCTCAGAGTAGTCCTGCACCTAAAAATAGCTGGCAGTCCTGGCCTGAGAAGGGCATTGGGCTCTGTCAGGGAGAGATGCCGAGCATGTGGCTCCCACACGCCAGGTCTTGGGAGAACCAGGCCAACCTCCCACCCTTCCCTCCCCAGGCAAATCTCCTGCAAAAGGGTGAGGGAAGAGAGGAAGTGGACAACAGGTCCTTAGCTTTTCTTTCCTCGGTGGGGGTGTGGGGACAGTGACTGGGCCAGCCTCATGGTGAGCCTCAAATCCTCCATCTCCAGGAAAAGAGGAGTAGCTAGCAGCCCCAGGAAGTCACTCTTTCTTCCCTTCTCTACAAAATTGGCTTCCTTTGTACTCTTTCTCCTTCCCTGTCCATGCACACTGTCTCCAGGCCACATCCTCCTAACATATAAGGGTGTGCACATCTTTGAAAGGTCCCTGGGCTCAGAGATAGAGAAGTAGGGGCTCAACTCCTGTCCAAAACATCTGGGGCTGATCTAATTTCTCTAAATCTCAGTCAACTAATTCATCAGTCAGATGAGGTTAATAACACCTCTCCTCCCTACCTCTTGAGGGTTTGGGGGGTATTAGATGAGACAACCTGGGTGAACTGACGTGGCAAAGCCTGGAAAACATAGTGTCTTATTATTTCAAAGGCATGAACTCTTAATCTCAGCTGCCTTTCAGGTCCTACTCTGTAGCCAGGAGGAGAAGAGAAGAGAATGGAGAGGAGAAGAGAGTAAAGGAGAGAAAATAGATATTGTGTGAGAAGTAATTCAGCCAAGATCCCTGTCTCTCTCTCTGTCTTCAGGGAGTCACCATTCTGTTGGGACAAGCAGTGTGTTTTCTGCCGGACGCGAAGACCACTGCAGTCATTATTACAGACCATTTCTCCGTCCTACTGGAGCCCCACACAGTCCACTTAATAGTCTGGGAATAGCAGGAATAAAGCAACACACAAAGCCTTCATATTGGAAGGATAAAGCAAAAGATGATACCTGAATGGAAGTGATGAATCTAACAGAAAATCCACAGGAGGTAGGGGAAAGGCAGAGATAAATCCAACAAAGTTGTCCCATAGAGGACATCAACAAAAGGCCACTTAACTGTCACTCAGAAGCCCCCCCCCCATACATCCCTTCCCAGAATGGCCAATTAACCAGCCATGTGTGCAGAGAGGGAAGCTCGCCTATTGACAGAATGCCCCGCTCACTTCCCGCCTCTCCTCCCTTATTCCATTATTTCATGGGTCATCTGTTCAGATGCACCAAACTCTCCTAGAACCCCGGCTTCGGGAACTCACAGACAGTAACATTAGCAAAGGGTTTAAGGACCTAGAAAAGAAAGCAATTATGCCTTCCACTCAAGGAACATGCTGCTTTAGTAGCAACGGGAATTAAAGAGCATGCTGGTAAACAATAGCTCAGGAATTGAAAAGAAAAAGGTGGGGATGGTACCAGTCACCGAAAGCGCCCAGCATCTTCTTGCTCAAAAGCGCCATTTTAAGTCACTAACAATGAGACAACTATCTGTGTACTTGGTTTAGGGGTGAGAGAGAAAGAGAGAAAGAGAGAGAGAGAGGGAGGGAGGGAGAGAAATGAGTGAGAGCAAGACAGAAAAGAAAAGAGAGGGGTGAGAGACAGAAGCAGTTTAAGGAATTCTTGAGAATTCTACAGCGGCACTTCCAAGAGAACATTCAGTGATAATGGAAATATTCTATGCCCATGCTGTCCAATAAGGTGGTCACTAGACGCCTGACACTTGGCTAGCGTGACTGAAGAACTGAACTTTAAATGCTATCTAATTTTAACTAATTTAAAATTTAAATAGCTGCATGTGGTAAATGGCTGTCATATTGGACAGAAGAGTTCAAAGCGAATTCACCAGCCCTAAAAGCACTGCTTCTGACAACTGGATTTGATGCAGAGACCCACAGCTGTGCTTGATCTGATAGCTCACATTGATTTTTCAGTCACAATGAACTGCTCATTAATCACTTACTCACTAAATATCTCCTCAGCACCTACTATGTGCCAGGACCTTTACACAGGTCTGAGAGTAAATAGAGAAAAACGCAGCCCTGGCCTTGATATTTCTAGTGTAGTAATTAGTAATTAAAGAGCATACGGGTAGATGTAAAAGTAGAACTGGTGTATGTGCTAAAAGAGCTGGTGTGTGTGAACAGGGAATGTGAACGCCATCCACATGAACTGAGGGAAGGTTCCCCTAAAGACGTTTTGTTGGAGGGCTTTTGTTTCCCGTGGGTGGGCAGGTTAGATACCTACACACACTACTGTCTGAATGAGACCACTTAAGTGCAGGATTTTTACAAATTAGATAAAATCTTTTTTAAAACTTGTTTAAAAAATGCCTCAATGGTTCAGCACAAAAGCAAGCATTTGCAAATTCCCCAAAAGTCATAAAAGCTGACAGATACCGGAGAGGTAAGCCAGCTTTCCCTTGAGGATTTTCTCAGAATGCCAGAGTTCTGGATTTTCTTCCTAAATCTGTACCTTGTATCTAGGATCATTTCTCTTTGGCTCTAAGTCTGTCTTTTAAAACTTTCCTTGAACAAAAGTCCCTGTTTTTATTTAGTTGAAAAGTTTTCATTATGCTCTCACTCTTGAAAGAATTTTACTGGGTCTAAGTTATTGTTTTTATATCAGCACATTGAAAATATTATCTCTGGCTCCTGGTTTTGCTGTTTAATCAGAGAGTGTACTTTTGTGTTCTTTAGCAAGGGATCTTTTCCATTCCCATTTGCTTTAAAAATTGCTTTGCCTTTGATGTTTTGTAGTCATTATCATGTAGTCTTCAGAATCCCATAATATATGTAGGGAGAGATTTCTTTGTTCTATCCACCTTGAGGATGATTTAGTTTCCTGTATTTGGATATTGCTCTGCTTCCATTGTTTTCAAACTTTCTCAGCCATTGTATTTTTAATGTACTCTTGCACTCTCCGTTGCCTTTGTCTAGAACTTTTGATTAGATAGATGTTAGGCCTTCTTGTGCTATCCGCCAAGACTTTGAACCACTCTGTTATAAAATGAAACCATTTCATTTTCTTGCTGGGCTACATTGTAGATCACTTATTTGTGTCAAATATTTTTCTTTATTCTTGTTAACTGATTTGGGGGGCGGGGTTGTGCCGGAGATTGAACTCAGGACCTTGTGCTTACAAGGTGGGTATAGAGCCACTGATCTAAATCCCTGGCCCTTTAACTGATTTTTTTTTTAATCAGCAAAATTTAATCTGCGGTTTCATTGATCTGGTAAGTTTTAATTTTCGGTTGCCACAGTGCATCAGTGCTGAAACAAATTTCCCCCGCATTTTCACACCTCGGGAATCAGGATGCATCATACAACCGGTGGCATCTCGTAATGAGTGGCAGTGTTTCCGGTGGCACACAAAATTTTGGTGCATCTTATAATCAATCCTGTTTTACAGTCAACACAATATGGTATTTATTTTTTCCCTTTTGGAATTTCCATCTGATTCTTTTCTGAGTCCAAATTACCAAAATTTCTTATCTATTTTAGAACTTCTTGTTTGTTTCTTTAAATTTATGGAATATAGTTCTTTTTTTTTAATCCTGTGTGATATAATTACAATACCCAAAGACTTTGTAAGTTTTTTTTCTGCTGTGTATTATTTCTGGTGGTTCTTGCTCATGGTGCCTTATGGGGGGGGGGTTGTGCCATTTGTCCGCTAACTGATCGTTTTCTTTGAACATTTACCTGTGGGAGCATTTTGAGGCTTGGGTTTAAATCACGTTCCTCCAGCAATGATACACATTTATTTCTCTGTGTTGCTTTGAGGGCACTATCAATCTGAGAACCCTCTACATTAAATTAGTTGTTTAATCATTTTTGGACTGCATAGTTAGCATAAATGCAAACCTCACACGTATGTCAGTCTAATTTATGGCTATGAATTCTCAGATGTTTTTCCAGGGATCACAATGCCAAGGTTTAAATCATGGACCACAATAGCATATTATTTGCAAGCAGGTAATCAAAGTTAAAGAATTTTTAAGGCCTTGGAATTTTTGGAAGAAAGGATAGCTACTGATAATTTTTAGACTCTGGTAAGCATGCATGTTTAAATAACAGATTAACAACTGAAAGAATGGGCACAGAGCATATAACTTCCAAAAAAAAAAGACTAAAGGTGGTAATAAAGAAGTTGGGGGAAAAAAAAACAAAAGAAGGTATAAAAGATTTCAAATAGGATTTTCTTTTTTTTTTCTTTTTGGTACTAGGGCTCAAACTCAGGACCTTGTGCTTGCAAGGCAGGCAGCAGTACCACTGAGCTAAATCCTTGGGCCTCAAAAAGGAATTTTAAATTTTTTAATTTTAATTTTTGGTGCTGGGGATTAAACTAAAGAAGCACACATTTTACCACTGAGCTATACCCCTACTTGCCCCCTCCAAAAGAGGGATTTTAAAAAGTGGAACAAATTGAAAGAATATTAAAAGAAGAAGCTTGAGTTCAATCTCCAGGACCAAAACAAAGAGAAAGAAAATGAAAAAGAAGAAACTTACTTAAATCTATTTATAATAATACTAAATATAAATGAATTTAACTCTTCAGCCAAAGATGAAAACAATTGGAATAAAATTTTAAGAATATAATTATATGTATTCAAAAGAGATACTCTTAAAACATAACAAAGAAAAACAAAAAGTCAAGGGTGGAAAAAATTTTTTCTTTATTAATTGTCTTGGTACATTTTAGGTATAATGACATTCATCATTGGAAATTTGCACCTTTATGTAAGATAAAAAAGTATTTCAGGAAAATGCTAATAAAAGAAAGCACCGATAGCTTTATTAATATAAATAAAATAAACTTTAAGGCAAGTGGCATTATTGGAAATAAGATTATTACTAATGATACTTTCAATTTTCCAAAAATACTCAGCATATAAAAATACTCAAGAATAATTCTAACAAATAACGAGAAATCCTTCTTGGAGACAATTATAAAATGTTATCGAGAAATGCTAAAGTTCTAAAC